CTGTAAGGTTAAGGGAGCCTAAAGTTTCTCCTAACTCTTAGGAAAGGTTGCAGTGCGTTGTCGTGTTTCTAACAGCATTTCTAACATTCAAAAGCTAGAACTGGGCCAGGCATGGTGGCACACAGCTGTAATCCCAGCACTCCAGAGGCTGAGGCAGCAGGATTATAGTGTGTTCGAGGCCAGCCTGCCGTGCATAGTGAAACCTGTCTTAGAGAAAAAGAGAAGGAAGAAAGCTAGAACTTATCTCTGAGGTCTTAGGTGGATCTTAACACTGACATGCCCAGAACTGCGTAGCCTGCCGTGACTGAAATGCCAACTCAGGCCTTTTTCTTCCTTTTCCTCCTGTCCTGCCCCTCTGCTCTGGGCCTTCCTTCTTCTATAATGGAGACTGAACCTGGAGCCTTATGTATGATGGACAAGCACTGTAGTGTTGTTATATCATGAGCCCTTTTTATTTTCTTATTTTAAGACATGATCTCAGTAAGTTGCCCAGCCTGACCTCAAACTTGAAGTGATTCTCCTGCCTCAGCCTCCTGAGTAGCAGGGATGGTAGGTGTACACCAACATGCCTGCTAATATTTTTAAATAGTTTAATTCTTGGATGGAAAGATGGCCAAGGAGTAGCTGAATTCAGATTACCAGTACATCAGGCTCAAAATTAAATGGAAAATGTAGTCCATGAAAGAAAATAAAGCCACGTGTGGTGGTGCACACCTGTAATCCCAGCCCTTGGGAGGCTGAAGTAGAAGGATCTCCAGTCTGTCTGACTGCCAGAGGCCAGTCTGGGCTACATAGTGAGTTCAAGTCCAACCTGAACCACAAAAGAAGACCCTGTCTCTAAAAAAATACATACATTTCCAGTACCAAAATAAAAAATAATGCATACATACAAAAGAAGAAAAATAAATTTCAGATGCATTAAAAATTTAGAAAGCTGAAGTAATTAAAAGATGCTTTTGCCAGGTATAGTGGTACACACCTCTAACCCCAGCATTTGGGAGGCTGAGGCAGGAGAATCACTGCAAGTTCAAGGCCAGCCTAGGCTATAGAGTTAAGTGCAAGGTAAGCCTGAACTGCATAGTGAAACCGTATCTCCAAAAAAAAAAAAAATGCTTTTAAGAGTTTTGAAAAACAGCTAAAGCATCCCATAAAGTGACAGCAAGTGATAATGATGTAATAATCGGAAAAGGCTCATAAAGAGGTGCAGGCCTGAGAGGGAGTGGGGAGCTGGATCCTTGTCTCATGCCGTGCTCAATTCATCAACTGGATTAAAGATTTTGTGTCATAACTCTTTACGCTTAGTAGAACAATACATGCTAATGTTATTAAGAGATGCACACAGAACAAGAAAAATAAAAATTTCTCTTCCTCTTTCTATCTCTGCCAAGTTCATTCCATGCTATTAAATTTTCAGTGTGTTTTTCCTGGCTGAACTGAAATGTACATACACTGTGACTATACTATATTATTTTGTGTATTTTAATAGGATTATATTCATATTTGATTGTGTATCTCTTTTACTTAACAAGGTATCTCAGAGACCTTTCCAGATTGGTGCATATGGGTCTACTTTATGCTTTTTTTTTTTAAATCCATTTTTTTCTTCTTTTCCAGATAGGATCCTGCTTTGCCCAGGCTTACTTTGTATGATCCTCCTCCTTGCCTCAGCCTTCCAAGTGCTGAGATTGCAAGCATCTCATATTCTTAGCTACTGTGTTGTGTTCCATAGTAAAGGTACATCATGTACCATTCATATATTGATAAACATTTTTAAAAAAATAGATTCTTGTACACATCAGCATGTGGCTACCATCTAATCTTTCTTTATCCTAGGTCTCTAGGGCTGGGGGTTTAGCTCAGTGGCATAAGTGCCTGCCTGGAAAGTGCAATGTCATGAGGTTGATCCCTGATACCCTCCTCCAAAATTCTAGATCTCTAATAGATTTATGGAGTCTAATCATCTATGTGCATCTTAAATCCTGATTTTGCCAAAATCCCAACTCTAAAAAGCCTTTCTGAAATTACACTTCCATGACCAGTACTGGAGTGATATTTTTCTAATGTCCTCATTGACTTTTTAAAGTTAAATTAATCCATTGGGCAGAAATTATGCCTTTTTTGGTGTTTCCTTTAAAGTAGAAAGGAATATTTGTGAAGCTGTTACTAGGTTTGTTTTCTTTATTTTCTTTAGGCATTAGAAAACTACCTGAAAGTCAAATGGAATTAGGAGAATTTCGTTTTCTAAATTTGAGTCATGTTTCAGGTTGTTTTTAGAACAGTCAATGTAGGTTCTATTGCTGGAAAGTCAATAAAAATGCATTTTAAATGAAGATCTTGAGGCTGGGTTAGTATTTTTCTCTTAGCATGGAGCATCTCGGAGCTGGAGCAGCGAGAGCTGAGGTTCGCAGGTGAGCTGTGTGTTTAGAGCCCGCTCGGAGATGGGTTTGTATGCAGACAGGCAGGTGATCTCTGCACCTGGGTGTCATGTTGGTTCATGGAACACTAGGCCAGAGTTAGGATGGATGGTGACCCCATCCTTTGATCCTCTTTATTCATAGGCAGTCTCCAAGTGGTTCTCTCCAATTTTGAGCAGTTTTTTTTTTTTTGTCTTCTTTCTTTTTATCGGTACCAGGGATGGAACTCACGACTGCCTGCTTGCAAGGCAGGCGCTTATGCCACTGAGCTAAACCTCCAGCCCCCTCTTGAGCAGTTTTTACAACAGCTGATATTCTGGAAAAACCAAATGTTACCCCTTATTGAACACTGGGGGTGAAGTCATTGATGAAGTCTGTTGCCCAGCGGGATGCCTCCCTCAGCACCTGTCACCCAGCACAGGCTGGCAGTCTTCTTTGTATGATGTCTGTGAGTTACAGCTCCTCTGTATCGTAGGACATCAGATCTCTTTTGTGGGGCCTCGAGCCTTGGCTGAAGGGCTTGAGACCCAAGTCACAGTGCCTGTGACTTAGATCTACTTCATGGGGAAGTCGGTGGCAGCTCTCCCACCTGTACTCCAGTACCTTGGCCTGTTGCTGCCCTTTGGTGACCAGGATTTCTTTTTTTTTTTTTTTTTTTTGCTGTGGTTTTCTTTCCAGGCAATCTCTGCTGTCTTTGGCTACGTGCCAGTGGGTTAGTGGTTTTACGCCAAGTTAAGATTCTGATTGAAGGTGGTTAAGGTGTGGCACAAAAGCTACATGAGCAGTCATGGTGTTCTGCATGCATTTTAGAGGACAGTGATCCTACTACTGACTGATGGCTGCCAGTTCCTAGGCGCTCAGCTGGGTATTCTTGGTAAATCATTTTGTTTTGTTTAATTTTCTGAAAAGCCCATGCTGGAGCTGTAATCCTACAACTACTGCATACTGAATGCTGGATTGCGGGAAGAATTTGTGCTGATACAAATTTAGCAAAATCTGGACTCACTGGGAGGGTCTTTTGATGTTGTTCAGCACACTGTGTTTTAAGGGTCTCTTATGGTCTGGGCACTGTTCTTAGTGTTGGGAATCCAGAGAAAAAATACCTCCCTTCAAAAAGTTAATAGTTCAATAAAGGAGATCCTCTCTTAATTAAAATGTTCTGATTTTAGGAGAAAACCACAAGAAACAAACGTGTAGGAGATACTTTACTCTAGTGAAAAGGACAATCCAGTCTTCTAAGAATTTGTTTTTAATACAATATACAGTAAGTCCAGTCTCCTGAAGGTGACTGTTGACTCCTCTATCTGGTCAGAAATGTCCTTGTGACAGTAAAGGACTGCATAGTACTCAATCACCAAAACTGTCTTGGCCACCTTTGCATGATACTCATGTCAACATTTGCTCAGAAATGTTGGAAGCGTCTCATTCCTGCAGAAGCAGAGGAATTTCAGCTCCTTTGCTTTCTTTTTTTTGTACCAAGGATTGAACTCATGACCTAGCGCTCACCAGGCAGGGGCTTATGCCACTGAGCTAAATCCCCAGCCCCAGCTCACATTTTAATAACTCACCGTAGCATCCTTTGTAACTTGGGGAGGAACATGCACCACAGGTGTGTCTGTGCCTTGCTTCTGTAAATGTTGCAAACAGAGAGTCGATGCGTGGTTGTCACCACTGAGTTCCTTCCTGCCAACCTGCCCTTCGCACAGTACAGCTGCTGCCAGATGGCTGTGTCCTGCCCCGTCCTTGTCTCTCACTGGCCCTCTCCTCCCTGCACAATCAACACCCTCCTCCCTCCCAGCCTCCCCACATCTGGTGTGTTTCTCATCCCCTTCTTTGCCCAGTGACTCCCTCTTGCCCCCGGGTCTCCATCTCCATGTCACTTCTCTGGTCTCCTCATGTTGAATAGGTCTCTCCTTTTTTCTGTTCATTTCACCCGTAGTCTCACATCTCAAACATAGCTTTGCATTTTGTGTACGCACATCTACCTCCGCTGCAAAAGCAAAACTATTGTTTGTTTTCTACTCCATTTACAAAATGTTCATCTACTACTGTCTCATCCATGGTCACTTCTGCTAAACAGCAAGTGGGGAACAGTTGGAGTGATGCTTTCACCAAATACTTGAGAACAGTGACATTCCAGCCGCTGCCTGGAGGTGGCCCTTGAGCAGCGAATAGAATGTCACTTGCTAACCTTCTGCTGGGGGAGAGAGACCAGGACCGCGCCCAGCGTGTCCGCAGCCCATGAGTGCTGCGTGGAGGACAGAGCAGAGGACAGCAGGTGGCGGGCGAGTAGAGGACACTGTCGGTGTTACCTGAGGCTGAGTTTGACCAGAGCCCTGGAGGAAGTTATGGATGGAATGAGCCACATCCAGCTCATGACAGAAAAGCTAAATTCTTACCATTTTCAGAGTGGTTTCTGGTTCTACGTTGAACTTGTCACACAAGGTCACACAATGCAGTTGTGTCTTGTGTGTCATACAGTGCGATTTTAGTCTTTGCTACACGTTTTAAAACTGAACCCACAAGGTTCAGTGGACAGAGAGCTGCCGGGATGATAGGAACTGCCGTATTTTGTAGATGGGGCAATTCCAGGAATTTTTTTTAAAGTTGTTTACAAATCACAGTTTTATATCTTTAGACCATTTTTTATTGAGCAAGTGATGGATTGCAAACAATGTATTTTTTTTCTTCCTCTCCTTTGCAGCCAGTATGAAATTAATAAGAACAAGGTTACTTTTCAAAATATTCTGGGCTTGGTGAATTCAGCTTCATTGGCGTGCCCTTGATTGTCTTTTCCTCTTCATCTGCTGTAGTTTTACAGGAGTCCCTGCACAGCAGAGTTGCCTTCTTCTGTTTGTCTGAAAGGCTCTGTATGCACCCAGGCAATGGGAACGACACCCACTGCTGTAGTCCTGCATTTCCCGACTTGGACATGATTGCTACTCCTGTGTGTCTGTCCCACAGTCTCATTTCCAGGGAATCTGATTTAAAAGAATAAAAAGCAACTGAATCTTCATGTAACTAAAACACTGGAGAAGAGGAGGATCCAAGCTACCATGGACATAATCGTCACAGGTCTCTTTCATCCCAGGTCGTGTCAGGGGCCCTGGGGGACATCCCAGCTCTGCCTCACCCCTGCCTCCTCCCCTCCCTTCCCTGCTGCTGGGGATGCCTCAGGCCCACCACAGATGCAGCTGGCAGGACTGTCCGGTTTCTCTCCGGGCATGCATTTCCAGCGGTGCCTCCAGATTGTCCCTGTGTAGACAAGAGCAGATGATAGATGCACAAGGCTATGACTGGGGTTGCAGCTGTGCACTGTAGCTAAGACAGTAAAGACTGAAAAAGAACAAGCAAAGTGATGGCTGCAGATCTGCGGCCTAGAAACCCGAGGGACCGAGTGAATCCCTACTGTGAACAGCTAGACAGAGCCAGGACGCCTCCAAGGAGGAAGACGAGCTGTCACCTGGCCATTGGTAGAAGGGACAGATGGCAGTGTGGAGGGCTGGGTTTGCTCGGTTTGTTCCAAACCTTGGCGCTTAGTCGGGCATGGTGGTGCACACCTGTAATCCCAGCACTTGGGAGGTTGAGGTGGGAGATCGCCACAAGTTCAAGGCCAGGCTGGGCTACATAGTGAGTTCAAGGCCAGCCTGAACTACCAGGTGAGACCTTGTCCCCATAAAATCAAGAAAACCAAAAACTAAACCAAACCAAAACAAAAACCTCGTTTCTTGTTTGTGAAGGCCTCCTCTTTCCGTGAGAAATAACAAGGAAGCCAGGTGTCATTTTATAGCTAGGTTTCAATTTATTTAGTTAGTCATTTAGTTAGGAGACAGGGTCTTGGTATGTAGTTCAGGCTGGCCTTGAACTTGTGGGATCATCCTGCCTCAGCCCCCCAAGTGCTGAAATTACAGGCATGTACCACCATGTCTGCTGGTTTCAACTGATTTAATTCTGACCACAGCCCTATGAGGTGGTGACTCCTGTGGTTGTCCTTTCGTTTTCCCTTGTACAGGGAAATAGTGTGGACCAAGGTGGGTCTGGTCTGTTCCTGGAGACATCTGGGCCGCGCAGCTGTGGGCCAGGCTCTTGGGTGGGGATTCAGGAAATGCGGCTGGGGAAGCTGCATCTCTCGGGGAAGCGTTTGGTGTTCAAGGCAGGCAATAAGTCTGAGCTCTGAGCCGTGAGGGATCCAGGACCAGCACTTTGTCATGTCTTGGGACACAGGCATGTCTCAACAGGGACTTTCAAACATGATTACACCGTTGCTGATTAATGTAGGGGTCAGTTTTCCTGTCCAGAGCACATGGACAGTTATTTACATCTGCTCTGGGAGCTGACATGTAGCTGTGGTGGTGTCAGTAAAGTCTGTGATGTTAGTGAGGAGATTGAACACCCTGATCTTCGTTTGTATAACACAGAGCTGGATTGGGATTCCTGCCCTTCTGTGAGGATTGAATGAGCAGGTCGATGGGGACGCCTCGTTGGGGGCTTGCTTGTTGCAGGGTCTCGGCAAAGGCAAGTCTCTCCCTGTGCTTCCCAGGAGGGATGTGAGCCGGCTAGGATTTCACAGAACAGTGTGAATTATAGGACCTGCTCCCTGCTGCCCCTACGTAGCATATAATTTAGGGCAGAAGGGCTGTCTGAAACCACGGGTCCCCGACAGGGACGTGACACAGCTATACCTGTGCAGGTGCGTGGTGTGTTGTTTATAGCAGAGGTGACTCGTGTCCTGTTGGCCCTGTCCCCTTTCAGCTATGGTTTTGTAAAGTCAAAAAATATCATGTAAGAATCCAGACTTTTGGTTTGTCATAAAAAAGCTGGAAGAAAAGCAATGCTGAACTCAAATTCCTGCACAGTAATGTTCTCAGAGCCCCTCGGGTGGACTGTGGGCACCCCTCTTCCAGAGGAGGGCTGAGTTCCAATCCTGGTCCCACCACTTACTTGCTGGTATACCTTGAGCAGGTTCCCTGACCTCTCTGGATGTTGGAGCTACAATGGTGCCTGTCCTCTGGCTTGCTGGGAGATTAGTCTCTGTAAAAGGCTGGACTTGCCATAGGCAGTGCCCCGTAATCATTCCTGTGGCCACTGTTGGCGTCCTTGCCATTCTCCTCCTGGCCGTGGAAGCATCCATGTGTTTGACCTGTGGGTTGGAGAAAGTCAGGCTCATCCCAGCCTGAGTTGATGGAGTTTTGTGGGAAGCTGTCCTGAATGGGGCCTGAAGCACAAGAGAGGGAGGAGAGTGTGCTAGGCAGAGGGATGGCAAGAGTCAGAGCTCGGAGGCAGGACCGCAGGCGCGGCATTGAGTGGCTGTGAACACATCCAGTGTTACTGCTCTAAGCCTAACCCTAACCCTAAGCCTAAACCTGTTTCCGTGGGAATTGTGTTTAAGTTTGGGCTTTGGTTCCCATCAGCATCTTCGTCCCCTGCGAAAGGATATGATCCTGGGTTGAGAGAACATGGCCTTCTTAGCACAGAGACACTCACAGCTCAGAAGAGTCCCTGTAGGGTCCACTCACTTGGAAAGAGTTAGAAGACCCCAGGTGTCATTAGAGGAATTAGAAATGGGCTGGCTTAAAGGTCCTGCCTCACCCCAGCAGAGCAGGCCAAAGCCTTGTGAGCTAGCAGAGGAGACTCTTTTTGAATGGAGGAGTCTAGCTCAGTGGTGTGTGTGTGTGCGCATGTGCATGCACGCGCAGGAGGAGTGCAGGGCAGATGAAACCACCCAAGGATGGACAGGGCTTTGGTGTCTGTGCTGATTTTAAGCTCTGAATTTTAATAATCAGATCCCCATAAATCAAGATAACTCTACCACTGTTTCCATATCCAAATGACACCTCTTTGAGTGACTCTGGCACGGAGAAGTAATGTCCCAAAATAGCCTTCGAGGAATCCCAAGCCCCACTGTTCTGTTTGGAAGGTAAGGTCACTGTATTTATGCGTCAGCCACAAATACTTGGATGAGTGCTTGAGTGCCTGAGGATTTACCACTTCCGGCTGATAGCATTAGACCCTTTGGAAGTGTCCTATGTCCTAATGTGCCAGCAGATTTAGAATTTTAAACAAGTCATGGAAATAAACAGGTGCTTGGTGCAGCTAAAAATAACCACCCTGGGAAGTGAAATTGGGGTGATACTGAGGAGCGAAAGTGGGGAGGTCAAGGCTCTAGGGAGAGTTTCAGATGGAGGGGAGAAGGCAAGCTAAGGAAAGAAAATCCTGCCTTTCCCCATCCATCCGTCAGGAGTGGTGGTTTACTTTCTCAGGATCTTCTGTAGCTTTGCCTGATGGCATGGTCTCAAATGCGTCGTAGCCCCAGCGCCCCCGCCCCATCTTGCACACATTTCCACCCAGATTTCCAAGTTCAAGGTGGGACCCGAGAGGCGGCCCCACTGTGTGGGGATGGGGAGTGGGTGTCCCCCACCCGCCACCTGGCCCTAGTGGGATGTTCCCACCACTGTCCTTGGCCGGACACCCCTGACTTAGCCACTGAGGTCTCGGGCTGATGAGAGGTGTGAGGGATGATGGGAGTGCAGGCATTCCAGCCCCATTAATCCTCCTCCTGCAGAGCCTCCGCACATCCTCCATGCCCCGCTGCACTTCCTGAGTAGTGAGAGATGGTGGCTGTCAGCGCGTGAAGGATGATGGGTGGCAAAGGGGGTAAACACAGCTTGTTACTACCAGATTCGATTACCTCTACTGGGCGCTGCCCAAAGACACATGGCTGGGGGGCCTCTTGACCCCTTGAGGGTGGAGGCAGTCTTAGTCAGCAGCAGCAGGGACCTGTGAAGAGCAGTTACAAAATGCTGTGAACTGTTCTCACCAGGAGGGACTAATTGTGTTACCTGAAGTTTTTCTTATTGATTGTTTGGAGATGGGAGGGGGGAGGTTCTGGTTTAACCCTGAAAATGCACTGCACAAAATCCATGTATTCAGGTTCAAAACAAGCAAAATCATGTATGGTCCTAGTGGTTACCTTGAAGGCAGACAATTGTTACGAGAGGGATGAGAGAGAACATTCTAGAATTGGTTCTAGAATGTCCTATGTCTTGACCTAGTGGTGATACATATAGATATCTGTGAAAATTAAGCAGTGCATTTAAGAACTATGGATAGCCTGAACCAAAGAACGAGACCTTGTCTCAAAAAAAGACCAAAAAGGAAAAAACTATGTATAACATAAAAAAGCTTTTTTTTAATGCACAAAGAAGTCTGAACAGAATCACCTCCATACCCTTAGAATGTCTTAGCTTTTACCATACTTGAACCTAGCTATTTCATTGTCCTAGGTCTTAAAAGCCTGACTTGGTTCATTCCATGCATTTAAAACACAGCCATTTGCCAAGCAGTGAACTACTGAAAGTCTCTTCCCAGTTTGCCAGTCCGGAGAGTAAGCTGAAAACGTCCTAGTCCTGTATCCTACGTCAAAGCCTGTCCATTCCTCTCCTGTTGAGTGAGATTGTTGGAACCTTGAGGTCAAACTGGCCTGGCTTTAAGTGGTTGCTCTGCCACCTGCTAACCTTGGGCCTGTACAGCCCTCTCTGAGCTCTGTGTTGGGTAAATGCTTCTTAATGCTGTGCCTCAGCACCCAGCAAGTGATCAATAAAGGTTAAGGATGCTGCTGCTGCTGTTGATTGTTACTGTCACCTCCCTAACTAAACCTCGCTAGGTTGGAAGGAACTCTGGACTGGAAGTCTCAGGTCCCGGCCAGTGATGGAGCCTTATATGTACCTTGATAATTGTGCCAACAAACAGTTCCCACACGACCCAACTTTTCCTACAGTTGGGCTGGCTCCAGGGTGCGGAGGCCCCCTCTGGCTTGGCAAGATTATTTGGCTTGAGCTCCACTGGTTCTCAGAGCAGGAGCATGTTGGGTTGGCCAACAGTGTACCCATGTCGAAGCAGCTGTGGCGAACATCTGGCTCTGATTATCTGGCTGGGAATGGCCGGGGGTGGGAGCACCATGATTTATAGATTGCTCCTTTGGCTGTAAATCCCATCTGTAATTGTGACTTCTCTGTCCCTAATTGTTTGCAGAGAAGAGAGGAGCTCAATGGCTTACAATCCCTGGCAGAGCCCACGGCGGCTGTGGGGTGGGGGGAGTGAGGTTGCTAGGACACGGCTGTCTTTGTTTTGGTCCCTGCTCGGCAGAGTTTTAAGGCCCTGTATACATTTCTCTGTATTGTTAATGTAATTTGTTCAGGCAGCGAACAGCCAAGTTCAGCTGAAGGAATCTGATACTCATAACAGAAACACCAGAGGCCAGGTTTTTGTGGTCAAATTAGGGTTTTGAGGCCTCAGAAGAGAATGAAATGTTGAGTTCTGCGAAGGGGACAGTCTCCCTTTCTCTTCTTGGGCAAACGCTGGCCCGGATTCAGCTCCCTGGAGGAGCTTGGCTTGGGGGGGCACCAAGTCCACCACATTCTGGCTGTGCTAGGTAGGGATCAGGGCTGCCCCTCTCCGAAAGAGGGGAGGTGGGTTTTCCTCAAAAGGGATGAAAAGTGCCTGTCAGCATGGGAGCCCGTTAGGGCACTGCCAGCCAGGCCTTTCCTGCACCCCGGCTCCAGGCATCTTCCTCAACCCCTCCTCCACCCCCGGATAACTCGACTGGTGCGGAAGTAATAGTTGGGATCTGTTGGGAAGGTATGTGACTGTGCAAAATGCAATTTGCCCATTTCCGTTGCCCGTGAAGACCCAACAGCCCCCTTGCCATCTGGGAGCCCCACACCCTGCTGTGCTCGGAGGTTTCGGAAATGATGGATTCCAAACATCTTCCGGTGAGTGGTTAATGATACTCAGTTAACTCAGTTCATCCTACCCTCTTTTTTTTGCCACAGAAAGTAAAATAAAAACCAACATACCAGCCCACAAGCATTTTCCATGCTTTGTTTTCTTCTAGAATGCATATACATGTTGTGAAATTAAGCCGACCAGCCTTATTAACTGCCCACCCCATGCATCTATTCTTCCATTTAACAATTGCCGTGCTTCTTGTGGGTGCAGAATGTGATCAGCTCCATCCCTTCCAAAGCTTTGAAAAGTAGAAGAACACAAGAAACCGAGTCCTTACAGTTCTGTATGAGAAAGGGGCAGCCCAAGTCTATGGGAGCGGGCGAGGCCTCTGGGAGGAGATGTTGGAGCTGAGCCTTCCTGAGCACACAAGCAGGGTTCTGTTACTGTCTGGATCCCAGTGGCTCCCCTCCCTTTCGTCCCAGCCCCCAGAAGCCCCTGGGGCAGGGGAGCATGTTGCCTTTTTTAATGAGCGCATTATCTCCAGCAGGCTGGCAATTTCCCAACAGTCTTGGAGGCAGAGCCACCTTCAGTTTGGAAGGCGAATCTGCTGGGAGCTCACGGCCGTGGTCACTTACAATCCGCATGGGCACCGTGGGCCTGCCATCCGGCTGTAGAGGTCTTTAAGTGATTCGACCACGTCAGCCGAGGAACTTCTTCACCTTGATCATTGCAGACAGGTAGCCGATGAGATGGAGCAGGTCTGTCAGTCATGCCAGCTGTCTGCCAGAGCATCCTGGAAAGTCGACCTGGCTGGGTTTGCATTATGAGGGTGGGCACAGAAGCATTCACAGAAAAGGGTGCCAAGGCCTTGCACTTCCATTCCTTGGCCCATGTTTAACACGGAATCCAAAGGAGGGGAGATGCATGCTGCTCCCGTGGAATGTAGGGCATCTCTGTCATCCATGGCCAACTGGCCTGCCACTGCCATCCTCAGCGCGTCCCGAGGCTGCTGGGGAGGAGGCACTTTTCTTGCTAGGAGAATTTCTCGACACCCTTGCTTACCACCAAATTGCATGTTCCTTGTCCCTAATTCGCTCCTCTTCTCCTCCCCCATGCCCTGTGTGCGCATTAAATCAGCGCTAGTCAATTTGTATTGCAAAAGTTGTTTTCCTTATTTGTCTCCTGCAATAGACCATGGATTTGTGGGATCAGAAAGGGTGCCCTCCTGGCCCCATGCCCAGACTACCTGAGAGGCATTTCTATCTATTTATGAAGGCATTCTCTTGTGTCTTTTATCCTTTAAGAAAGAGTTTTCAGGTGGGCATGGTGGCTTGTAATCCCAGGGATTTGGGAGGCTGAGGCAGGAGGATGGCAAGTTCATGGTCAGCCTGGCAACTTAGCAAGACTCTGTCTTAAAATAAAGAGCCTGGGTATAGCTCAGTGTTAGAACGTTTGCCTAGCGTGCTGAGACCCTTGGTTTGATCCCTAGCAGGGAGGGAAGAAGGAAGGAGAAGAGAGTAAGGGAGAAAGAGATCTGGTTTTTAAAGTACTAAAATTAACCTTTGCCATTTTTGATAGAAATATTACAAAATGTTCCCTATATATTCAAAGCCAGTCTGCACTACAAAGTGAGACCCTGTCTCTAAAAAAAAAAGTTCTTTCCATTAAAAATATCGGTCAGTATTGTTTTCTAAAAGTTTGGCTTTTTAATATGTAGGACAGAACTCTGGAGCCCATATAGAATTTATTAGTCTGATTTAGGAAGACTAGTTGGTTTTCTTAAGTTTATTTTTATTAGTGTATATTCATTTTTTTATTGGTACCAGGGATCAAACTCACCGGGCGCTTGCAAGGCAGGCGCTTATGCCACTGAACTAAATCCCCAGCTCCTAGTGTATATTAATTTTATAAAATACTAGGCCAGGCATGATTACGCCTGTAATCACAGCACTCAGGAGGTTGAGGCAGGAGATTGCTGTGAGTTTGAGACCAGCTTGGACTACAAAGTGAGTTTAAGTCCAGCCTAAACTGCACAGTGAGACCCTGTCTCAAAAAGACCAATCAGTCAATCAATAATAAATAAATAATAAGGTTCAGATGATTACATTTTGATCATATCCATCCCCTATTACCTTCCCTAATGCACCCCCCATCTCTTTCCGAGTGATAATAGTCTCCCATCTGCTCTCCTATCTTATCTATTAGAGTCCACACACTGCGGAGAACATGAAACACTTGTCTTTCTGAGTCTGGCTGATTTCACCTACCATGGTGGCCTCCAGTTTCACCCATTTTCCTGTATCATAATTTTGTCCTTTACAGCTAAATGATATTCCAGTGTTTACACCACATTTCTTTACCCGTTCATTGTGGGTGGGCACCTAGGAGGGCTCCATATCTTGACTCTTGCCTTAATAAACATGGACATACAGGTATTCCTGGCGTGCTGACCTTCATCCCTGCTGGTATATATCCAGGAGGAGTCCAGCTGGATCAAATAGTAGCTCTAGTTGTGCTTTTTTTTGAGGACCCTCATACAGATTTCCATGAGGGCTGGTCTCATTCCCATGTCACCCACAGCATACAAGGACTCCTTTCTCCCACACCCTCGCTGGCATTAACCCCTGGACGATAACTATTCTGATTTGGATTTTTCTAATAGCTAAAGATGTTGGGCAGTTTTCCTATATTTATTAGCCACGTGTTCTTCTTTAGAGAAGTGTCCATTCAATTCATTTGCCCATTTGTTAACCGGACATCGTGAGTTCTTGATGTCTTTACCCTTCCTAGATAAACACTAAGTCCTCTGCAGAGGAGAGGCTGATAGAGGTTTTATCCCTTCTGCTGGCTGGCTTTTCACTGTTGGTTGTTGTCCTGCCATGTGGATACTTTTTAATTTGATGTAGTCTACTTGGTGATTCTTGCTATTATTTCCAATGCAGTGCAATCTTAAAGAAATTTGTGCCTGGGCCTGTGATTTCCAACAGTTTCAAAATTTCTTTGGTCCTTGTTGAAATGACTTTTGTACAGACTAAGAGCATTTTGGATTTCAAGTTCTCTTAGCCCCATTTAAACTCTCTGATCAGTATGGCGTTTTTTTCCCCATGTCCTCTATTCTACTCCATTGGGTTCTGTGTCTATTTTTGTGCCTGTACCGTGCTATTTTTGTTACTAGGGCTTTGTAGTATAATTTGAAATCAGGTATTGTGATGACACCAGCCTTT